GGCTTGTGTCGCTTAAGTTTCGTCGGTACGAAGTTACGGAAAATCAATTAAAAAAAAAACGGAGACGTAACAATATTTTCTATTCTTTACAATTTCACAGAAATTCTTTAGAAGGCTACATACCGTGTAGATTTATTCTAAGTTTTATGTTAAATTACATAAGTTTATATGTGACATAGATAACTAGGAAATGTTTTTGTTTAAATATGGTTCAACACACACACGATCCCAACTTACACAAAACTATTCTCTAGTACTCCTACAGAACTGGAAATACAAAGTTAGCAAAAATACTAAATTATATTATCCAGCTACTTTTGAAATTTGAAATTTAGTATTTCCAACCTGAACGCCACTTTATGTAATATATGGCTAAACAGACAGGTCAGTGACCCCAAGGTTTATGCATAGGTGTTTCTGATTTAGAAAATGTTGACCAGAGGAAGGACAACCAGTCAGCATTACACGTAGTCAACAAGGATATTATTTTGCGGTGATTAACGGGGTTAATTGGCACTTTTATAATATTCCCAGAGCTGAAAGTATGGATCGTGTTCAGTTGTGTATCGTTGTCTCGAACCTGGGACTTTCCAGTCTTCAACATGTCACACTAATCAATATGCCATGCCCAGCATACTTTTGAAATAGCTGCACAAATAACAATACACTATTTTCAAAACCAGCTTAAAATACTGAGTTGAAAGTAATGTATGGAAATCTTTAGAAAATAATATGAACAGAAAGTAAAATACTAGTCATCTCTACACTGATTGGCGGTTGTATTAGAATTCACGTTTCTATTTGGATATGAAACATGAAATATGTTTTAAGTGTTTGCTTGAGCTTTAAAAAAGGTGAAGATGTAGTGATATGAGGGTTAATCTGTAGGACAACTCGAATAAACAAATATTTTTTTTCCAATTTTTAAAGAGGCATACTATTGGGTGCTTGTCTAGCATTGATAATTAATGTCTCTTGAAACAGCTATCCGAAAAACACTTGTCATCCGTTTCTAAAACAGTGATAACCGAAACAAAATATGCATTTCACTAAAAAAAAAAACTCTGGGTCCATTTCTGGTGATAAACTAGGGAAGAGATAATTGTACTGGCTTGTAAGGTATATTAGACATCAAAATGTGTCCCTATTAACTGACGTATTTAACAATGGTCAGTAATAAACTCTGCTATGCAAAGGAGGTTACAAAAACTGTCCTGTAGGAGGCGATAACCAATGTGAAAATTGTATATTTCAGTTGCAAACAGAAATGTGAGATTTGGGGACGGTTAAAATACAAACCTTGGCCACTAAATGATTGGATAAAGATGTCTATGATGTGATTTGGCGAGTCGCATCACTCTGTTCTGTATTGATGATCAAGGATTCGAGCCGGAAACGAAACGATGAACAAAAAAATTCGAGGAACAGAAACGAAGTAAATTTATTTATACTATGGAACGGAAACGATATACAAGATTTTGTTTATCAGTTAATAACGGTTTTTTTTTCTCTTTCAGCCTCTTACCTCTACCTCTTTCTACTGTTTTCAAATATACAGTAATTTAAAAAAAGAAACATTCAGTAGAGAGGTGCGTCCAAACTTCAACTAATCAACTTTATTTTAAATGTATGTCAATAAACTTAACATCAAAACATACTTTACTAGCGAAAGTACCCGGCTTCGCTTGGGTTATTAGGTAGATATATTCTAAATGATTATTTTAGCATCCCGCAGGTGCGCATAGTCTTCAACTCGGAGCTTCTTTTGATTTATGAGAATGAATCGCAGCCTTTCTCTTTCAATTTTGGCATACATTACGATTTTAGTGACAGAGGTGCAAGAGGGCCGTGAATAAATTAATAAATAAGCCTAAAGTACAGACACAGTGGGAGATAACCTAGCCTAGAGCCAAGTGCATAAAATTTATCATGAAAGTAAAAATATAGATCTAATTTTAAACTTAAATCGTTTCTGAATTAAGGTATTTTCTGTCATATCACCAACGTTTTTGATAAAAAAAAAAAAACCTCTTTAATCAACGGAGACTCTAGATTGAGAAACCAAAAAATATTTTCCACTTTTGTTGTCTATGCACTTCATTTTATACTTTCAGTACATAGACTAATAACAATATTAGGTTATACTTTTGTTGCTAAGCAATGTGACATAAGATACAATGTTGGAACGCATTGTTACCAAAATGCACTGGCTTTTCTGTATATTAGAAGTTGTTAATCTAACTTATTTTTACAATTAATTATTCTATGAATACGCCACGAATTCCTTTCATGAACGATCTTAATTTTGATTGGCTCATAAAGGAATTTACCGACGTTTGACTGCCGTGACTGCATTTTTTGCCTCTTTGTTGGTCAAGCTTGATTTCGCAAAATATATTTATTTCAGTTAGCTATTTAATGTGAGGTTAGGGTATACTATGGGGTGGGGGTGGTAGCACTTGCCCGTCATTTTTGACGGGCGATACATTAGTTTAAATGCTATTGAAATTATTTATTTACTCATGCTTATTTGCCAATGGTGAATGTTTATGACAGATAGATAGGTTATTTTGTGAACTATATGAATATTAATCTTTATTTTAATTCATTTCCGTGAAATTCGCCATTTCCCAAGTAGACGTTGTAGAATGTAGACCGAACGAAGTCTATGCCTCTGTAACAATGAATTGTATTTAACCTATTTACAGATTAGTTAGAAAACCAGATAAATTATCGTAGTTTGGATCATTCTATTTTACTGTTGAAATTATTATTTCTATTTTAAAATGCATATTTGAAAGCTACATGGTTTTTTTTTGTCAAACAACATAGTTACAGAACACAAGGCTTACGAAAGCGGATCACTTGAGTACAAAACGGCCTAAACATCTAAGGTAAGTACTAAATTTCTTGTTTTTTACGTATATTTTTTATCAAGAAAACTTAAATGAAAAATACATAAATAAAATTTCTCAGCGAGGTATGCACGCGAGCTGCTCGTGCATTATGAAATTTCATACTTTCTTTACAGTAAATTGAGTTATGGATTTTCTTCTGTTGTAGAATTTGTTTATAATAAATAATTAATTGATGCTTTGGGTTGAATGTGCAGAGGAGAATAAGCTGGAATAAGGAGATTTGATATTGTAGATCGACACCTAATGCAAACACCATTGTTGTTGTTAATTTCCAACTTGTACGTATTTGTTCTAAAGTGAGCGAAAAATAATTAGTGACTTGACTTTAGTTCTGCGATATTAATTTTAGAATATTGTGTGTGAAATAATATATATATATATATATATATATCATTTTCTTTGTTATTTCCAAAATAAGGAAAGATGCACTGTGAGTATGATACATTTATTGAATGGCTGATAGTGATAATAAGATTTTTTATACGTAACTAATTACTTGGAGAGGATTTATTTCTGTGTGATGTTTAGAGTGAGAATGTTGGAAATCTTCGCCTTTTTTAATTATAAACTATAACTAAGGCTAAAGAAACTGTAACTAAGAAAATAAAAAAGTAAAGCAGACTGCTGTGATTTTTGTTAAAGGATACAACATAAGCATCGATATTTGTATAGACAGGTAATAATTGTATTTATTGATGCAGGCAGATAGAGTTGAACTGTTTTACCTTGGAGTGACGAGTTTTCTGGACTTTACTGTATTTATTGCTCCTTGTGAAATGTTATTCACGAAAATATAAACATGAACACCAATACATGAACACTTGAATTAGAAAACCTGAACCGGTATTAAGCGGTATTTTATTTCGTTCCAACCAGAACGGGACGAAATAAGTCGTTTGGAACTTTCGAAACAGGAGCTAAAACTTTTGGCTCTGTTCGGAGCCGAATGGGTACGGAAAAAATGTTTCGAATCACTGATGATTATAGAGTAAAACTATGGATGAAACCATGTAAGACTGTTCGTTATGTTGTCCAGACAGTACAATCTGCTGGAGGTGGTATAATGGTGTGAGGAAGGATCTCGTGGCAAAATTTGACAAATGCCTTTTGATTTCTTTGGAAGGGCAAATAACACATAACGTGCGTGACTATTGTTGCCCAGACTTAACCAGGACAAAGTTATTTCCAAAACGATAATGTGACGATGTACTTGTTGTCCGAAATTTTTTTCAAATAGAATAAGAGTGACGTCAGTCATATTTTTTACGCAATATAATCAGCATAACCCTCTTCTGACTTTTGTGAATTAAATACAGACCATGCTGCTCAATTAAGTGGTAAAAATCAGAAAGGCCACCTTTCAGCATTTTTGGAGTTTCTGTCATGCCAAACAAAGGTTATTGTCTCAAGAAAACGTGGAAACTCCAAGATAGTGTCCAATCAGAGTAAATGTTTCATTATTAGGTTAATTAAACAAACAATTACAAAGGAATGTATAACTACATTCGAAACGTTGGTGAGTAGTGAAGAAAATATATTCTAAGATCTGAATTTAGAATCAGGCTTATTATATATATATATATCATTTTGGTACCATTTAAATGCAAACCTCCCGTACTATAAAAATACATGTACGAGATCATGTATATTATATCAACAGGCTTAAGAATAAAGCATACGTTATACTACAATACGAAATCCTTTAAGAATAATAAAATAAATAATATTAATAACTAAAACTTCTATTAAAACGATGGCCTATAATTTATAGTTACTGATATGGTAAGACTGACTAGTTCATAACAAAATTAATGTTCTCTATAAATATAATACATTACTTAGTGGTTCGAGTCCCGATTCAGTGAAGTCTTTATTCGGTGATTTAGTATACTAACTGACGTATCCATGCAATGCACGGGAAGAATATAGAACCCCCTCGGTGGTGACACAACGGAGTTAGACCTAAACCCCGAACTCCGGGAGCCTAAGGGTGCATGCCAAGTTTGGTAACAGTCGGTCCAACGATTCATTATTTGTAAACGGTGATACTATAACTGACAGAAATAGTTCAATAATTATTTCCCTGCTTTAGTTAAGGACTCCAACGAGAATAATTTTACTTTGAAGATAAGGTGATCCAAAGGACAAGGAGTTTAGAAAATGTGTCAGTTTTCTTTAGACTGTTAGGGCTAGGAACTCATTTAGAAACTGAAGGTGTTTAGCAGCAGTGGTGGGTATTCAACAGAAATGTCGTAGTTGGAACCCCTGGTACATCGTATCAACCTCAATACACAAAGGTTGGCACGTAATTGTAGGATATCCAGGATATTGTGTATTTAGGTCGGTGGTATGGAAGTGAAGTTCATGCAAAACTAGTCAAAAGTTACTAAAACAGAACAATGCATAGTTACGAGAGATAAATGCAGAGGCAAGGAAATGATAAATGAAGAAAAATACTTTTGTGTTGATTGGAAAAAGTAAACGAATGTGATAAACTATCTGTAGAGCTTCTCAACGTTATAAGAAAGTAACTGGAGTTGTACAAAATTGTGATTGTAATTCGAAGTCAAAGAAATGTATAAAAATTCATTCCAAACAATACAAGGAAAACAATCTCTTATTTTCAGGGGTGGGTGGGTAACAAACATTAGAAACGGAAAGTCTGCTAGCAAAAATGATAAATGAGCACTTAGCTCACCTGATATCCAGAAGAACATGAAGCAGCTGACAGCTGTGGGTTTTTGTTTCGACACTTCCGCCTCCATAAGAAGTTCGCAACGGTGAATTCCATCAAAGCAGCGAAAACGAACATAGTACAGGCACCCATCCAAACATCGATTGCCTTTACGTAGGATACTGGAGGCAGGTTACTTTGGATTGCAGAACCCTTGGAAGAAATTGTTAGAAGTGTGGTTACCCCAAGAGTAATCCTAGCGGGGATAGCCTCAATGTCCAGCCAGAAAGACACCCAGGATACTACCACAATGAGGATAGTAGGAAGATAAGACTGGACAAGATGATAGCCAATAGATCGTTGAAGATAAAACTCTGCGATCAGACAGCTATATTCTCCTTGAAAACAAAATAAAAGTTTCATTTTATGTATCTTATTTTAGGTTAATTTGTAGTTGACAGAAGGAAACATAAAACGACATTGATTTTTACTCTAAGTATGTTTCTTACTTATTTCTAATCACACCTTGCCTTTTTGGTTATTATTATTCAATAGTTTTACAGTAATAAATATTGATTGTTTACTATCTGTCCAGATGATAACCAAAAAGCGATATATAAAAATAATTATATTATGTTTTGTGTTTCATGTTACAAGTTGAAAAGCACCAACAGAAAAATTATGGATGGTGTTCGAATTTTCTTTTACTCATCAAAAATAACAGGTTTATTTTTATTTTTTCTATACTGTTCAGTGAAAAAGTAAAAATATTTTCTCTTGTTTGTTCTCTTGTGCGCTGAATAGTAAAAAACACCTACTTGAATATAAGTAGTAATAAATTACAAGTCAAACACTACATACAGACTATTTTTACTAGTAGAAGAGGCCTAACTTCTTATTTAATGATTGGTGGAATTCCTGAAAACCTCTATAACTAAATCAAATGCAGCAGATCCAAGAAGAAACTGGGCCTCTCGTTACTTCGCTAACATCCTTAATTTTAACAATGAAAAAATTTAAAACAGTTTTACTGGTGAGGCGTGAAATCCCTGCAACCCATCTAATTCAGTAACAATTCAAAAATAAACTGGGCCCCTCGTTTCTGTCTTTCGTCCAGCTTTTTTCATTTCCATGGTAAGGATAAAACTGAAAACTTACCAATATGAAAGTTTTCCCTACACAAAGAAGTATTGACCTTTTCTATCTCAAACTGTGGGAGTTTCAGATTACCAAACAAAGTAATGGGACTTCTCTGCGCCCATATCAGTCGAAGCTCGTCCGTCGTCTTGGAAACTATGGCAAGAATACAGGAAGATTTTCTGTTTGTTATATTTTGAGCTCATGGTACAGTTATGCCACAATTAGGATGCTGATCCTTGTTTCTGTGTGGTTCTAAAACATTCATCTAATTTAGTTTTGGACTATGTTTACAAGTAACTTCGTTTGTTTTGAACCAGTATGTTTACCAATCTTGTACAAAAAAAACGTGATAAAATTGCCAGTTTTGGACAATGTTGTTGAGCTTTTCTTAATTAGCATATTTTCCTCCGCCAGGAGCATTCGTTGCGCATTAAGTAATTAATATTATATACAAATGGGATCAGTCATAACAAAAATAATCATGGATGAATTTATTTGTTAATAACGTTTTTTTAAAAAAATTAAAAAAAAAAATTTACATTTTGGCTCCATTGAAAATATTTTGTTTCTGTTCATGTGTTACACGGCCTTTGACTTAATTTCTGGTGTCTAGCAAAACACCCCCAGTGGCTCAGCAGTAAGTGTGATTGTTTATAACGTTAATAATTAGGTTTCAATACCCGTAGTGGGTACAGCACATATAACTCACCATGTACCTTTGTTGTTTAACAATAAACAAAAATATTCTAGAAAATATATTTTGTGTGAAAACAACAATTTAAAACAAAATCAAGGACGGCTTTCTAAAGACAGGCCTCCCAGTAGCACAGCGGTATGTCTGTGGACTTACAACGCTAGAAACCGGGTTTCGATATCCGTGGTGGGCAGAGCATAAATAGCCCATCGTGTAGCTTTATGCTTAACTACAAACAAACAATTCTAAAGAAGGGCTTCTCATAAACGCAAGCTAACTTAAGGCAACGTTCCTGCTTGAACTTGTAACAACTGGCAATCTTTACAGAGATTAATTTTCTGCCAATGAAAGCAAATAAAGAAATATCTCAAGCGCTACAAGGATAAATCGGTTAGTTTTAGAAGACTTAGGCTTAATTTGAAGTTAAATTTTATTGTAACAAGCAATTTTTTATAGAATATTTTCCTATCCGTTGATTAGCAAACTAAATCATCTTACACTTATTGTCTTGATATTGAACTAATTTTGGTTTCAAATATATATTTTTCTGCCGATAATTCTCTGAAGGTGAACAAGAATGATTTCATAATGAGCAAGTAATATTGTCAAATATTAAAAGTGCATTATAACCACTGAAATGTTAGCTTGTGCGTTGCGTATTTCGTTTTCTTATAATATCATTCTCTAGCTGTCAAATTGTTGCTTATATTATTTAAGATTATATGACGATTTTTTAAACTGTTGTTAGTGCATTTCTTTTTAATGGTCTCATTGAAGATATCTTGGTCTGAACTCGAAGTAAAATTTAAAATTGTTCACGAAACCACTCAAGAAAAAATTGCACGCCTTCATATTTTCTAATTTCATTGAAACTACTCCAGGTTTACGACAAGTTTAAGTAATCTCGTAACCGATGCAGTTATGGATGGTCCTAAAAGTAGGTGGCGTACTAATAATTTTCTTCACTATAGCAGTAAAAGACGAGCCACTCCACTACTGTGTTTGCATGAATTATATTTCATAACACTCAATTAAAGTAGTCAACTTCATTGCTTTTCTCCAAATTAACTCTAAAATTTAAGGAAGTTGTTGCACGCTAGATCCAGTTTTGTCATTATTGCCAATAATTTCTAATTGGATAATATTCCACGCAGTCTTAAAAGATGTAATAATCACACCAAAGTTTACGTGCGAGTGGTCAGTAAGCACCCATTTATTTAGAACCGCTAGTTTGAAATGATTAATCTACACTGCTACAAGAGGACCGAAACGTCGTTAAAAAAGCTGACGCCTACCTAACAGTCAATTAATTTAACCTGCAAATCGTAATGAAATACCACTTCAATATATTAACCCTAATATTCAGCTTTCTACTTTATTCGGTTTTAAGTAGCTCAGACTAATATCAAATTATCTTTTATAAAGCAAACTTCATAGATATTTTGAGCTGGATGTGCCATAATTGTTAGCATGCTATCGTTTGCATCACGTTGTTACAAATTTGCGCTCCGCACTTTGGTACTATAAGTGCATTATAAGAGTGACTGTAAAATTCTACTATTCGGTTAGGAAGGAGTAGCCCAAGAGTAATGTTGACTACAGAGGTTGAGTGCATCATATAAAAACTATTTTGGAGCTTCGCCATACCGTTACAGTTCACTTCGCTATGTCAGGTCATTCTCTTCACAATAGCATGGCAAAAGCCTCCATCTTAAAGCTGTCATGTAAAATGCACAGAACCTCTACCTGCATTGTTTCCATGTTCCATCTAGTGTACGAGGACGAGATTTTCTAGCGTCCTTTCAACAGTCCGATCATGCAGTAATCCATAGGCGTTGCGTTCGGTGATTTTAACGATATGTCTTCGTATGAAATAGAATTTACACTCTTTCCATTCTCTAGCTGTTTTATGTTTGCGATTGTGAACAGATATGTCGTGGAAGAATTGTTTACATATGATTTGTTTTGCTTTTCCAGATCTATACTGATTATTTTGTTTACTGTTGCCTAAATCACGTGGACGGCTTTTGATACTGACCTTTGCGTTTGTGGATTATTACCTGATACAAGAGGCTCTATTTTGCTTACCACGACTGGGGTTCGACTTGTTGCAAGTCTCTTTCTGGATGGTCCTGGTGTCCCAAGTTTATCAACATATATATATTTTTCTTCAATATCATTAACTCTAAGGAATACTCCCATTTTAGAAATTCTAAACCCCGATCTGAACTTATATTTATGATATCAGTGTATGAATATTTTGCGTCAGAAAGGGCTGTTATATATGTTTTCCACAAACGATCGATTTTCGGTGGCATCATACTACCTACGTGCATTCAAAGAAGGTCAAAATGTAGTTCTGATAAACTCCATTCCACCACTACTCCTTATCGGCTGTTATTATCACGTGACTTGCTGATTTGTATATTGAAAATTATTTTAATATAACATACTAAACGTTCTGTAGCTATCTTCCCTCTAATCTATCAGTTCAAAACTAGGAGCGGCTAAATGTAAATATTACTTTGTTCAGTTTAGGCCAATATCATCATTTTTATTCATTTTAAAGTAAAATAACGCCGTGTTTCACTAAACTTACCCATGCGGGGTCCCCCAGTTGTTCAGCGTAAGTTTACGGACAACTCATTGTGTAGCTCTGTGCTAAAATAAAACACACACACACACACCCAAGCCAGTTTTCATTAGCGCACAAAATGGTCGTTTTTATTCCGGGTTTGGGGGGGGGGGGCTAATATGATAATTACACATTTCAGCATTAAAAACATACCTAAGCAAAACACATTAATAATAAAATAAAAATTGACTTACAAATTGAAAAAAAAGGAAAAGCTGAAATTTGTAATCTTTCTATAACAGCGATATTTTTAATATATAATGGAGGAGATTATTTGTTTGTTTGTAGTTAAGCAAAAAGCTACACAATGGCCTATCTGCTCTGCCCACCACAAGTATCGAAACCAGACATACCGCTGTGCCACTGGGACGGGGTGGAGGGGGGAGGAGAAAAAGAGCAATAGTTAAAGTTCGAGAAAGTAAAGGCTTTTTTTTTTCCTTCCTCTTCTCCTCACATTTTAAGCCTGTTCTTTATTACCAAACTTATTGTATCGCCGTTTGTATCATGATAGTTCTATGAACGTAAATCTTTATTACACTAACCTATTGCAACTGGTAAGCAGTCTTATCAAGCGGGAGAAAAAAAAAGCCATACTGTAGGCAGGTTCATGATTACGCTAAATTTTGGTATCAGCTCAAAACTAGGAGCGGTTAAGTGTAAATATTACTTTGTTCGGTATATATTTTTTTCTATATCATTAAGTAAGTCTAAGCCACACATTTGCTCCTCAGTGGGAATTTCTCCACGAAGGAGATCTTTGATCTTTTGCTGTATCATTCTGCATTATAAAACACGAGAAGCTACAGTTGACACGTGAAACTTGTGCCTCGAAGTCTGATTGCTGGAAATGGAACGGAAGCAATTTTAAACAACGTCTAAAATAGTCATTGAACACCGGAAATGACAACGATTTAAACTTTTTCAGAGTGACGAGTAAACATTACAACAAGCTCTTACAAGTATAGGTTATACTGTTGAAATAAAAACGAAATACTTGACTGTTAAGGAGTTGATATTCTCAGTCCAATCTGGCAGTTACGATCAAGATAATAGGAGCTTGTTTAGCTTTCTCTCTGAACAAAGTCAAGTACCTTCTTCAAATTACACATCTACAGACTTGCAAACACGTAGTGATTCTTTGTGTTCTAATACTACGAACTCAAAATGTTTTGGGATTTCTGTAACCGGAGAATAATTGTAGTTCTTTGGTAATTAAAGTGGTACAATATCGGGTGTAATAGAAGATAACATTTCCCTAAGACCCAATAATGACTGTAACATTTATTACCTCCGCCATCGACGGTGAACGGAGATTATGTTTTCACCCTTGTGTGTGTTTGTCAGCAAGTTTTCTCGAAAACAGCTGAATATGTTTTAACGAAAGTTGGTATACATTTGGACTATGGCCAAACTTAAAAGTTATTAGTTTTTGTAGGGTCAAGGTCACAAATATTTTTAAAAATCCCTATCTGTTAACATCGGACCGATTTTTCACACACTTTTTGCTTTATAAATCAATCAAAAATGATCAGATTTTGATGAAACTTGGTGAACTTATGTAGAATATTATTCCTCATTTCCCTGCAAAAATAATTCGTGACCGTTGATAACGATGGATATGCTGACATATTTTCTTGTTTTTTGAGAGCCTAATATGATCAATGCTGCGTGGCGGTGGTATGTGCTCTATGGAGTGCCCCTCTAGTTTTAGTTATGTGTTTATATCTGTATACAAAATAAATACTAAACGGGCTATTATGTTTCTCGCATTTCCTATATTTAAAACGGGAAACCCAAGAATTACTCTTTATGACAACCAACCAAAGTCATGTTTAATAATATATTTTACATAAACCATTGCTTCAAAGGAATATCAATTACAAAATTAACTTACACGAGGCCAATTCTATGGTACACACTTGTAAGTCCATTGGAAAACTTGATAGCTCCATCATACAAGAAAATCGCAGTTTCAGTCTATAAAGAAAACATAATTTGTATTCATCACCTCGCATCCATAAACAAATCTTTATTAAGCAAAAGTAATGTAGATACAATTATTTATACCGATTCTTTATATCAGGAGTGTTTATTTTCGCCTTTAAATTATGTCGCTGCTGAATATCGCTGCTGGAGAAAGACTGTGACAGTTGTGTCTAATAATGCCAGAGGGATGAAAGCATAATAAGTTTCCCGATGATTCAGATTATAGAGGACTGTCCTGTTGAAGAGTAACAGCTTAGCAAGCCAATATAAGCCTGTTGTTATGGAAATTAGCAAGCTTCATCTCACTCTCATTACAGAGTGTTTCGAGGATATGCATCTCCCCCAACCCCACATCCAGCATTAATATTCTGAATGTGAAATGAATCTTATCCTCGATATGTGAAGTTCCTCAATAAAGTCAAAAATTACTTATATATAATAGACTCTTTGTCGAAGTGTACACAACTTCTTCTTATACGTTCTTATTAATTTAAGCCTATAAGAAAATCATTTGTGGATTTCTTTTAATTAATAAACCTTAGACTTAGTTTGACAGTTAAAATTTTTAAACTTGTTTGTTAAACTTCTGAACATTAGTTAATTCAAAAGCATCATTAACATGTGCTTGTTGAAACCTCTTCTAAATGTATTCTTTGAAACATAGAGCTGAAAGCACAGTTTAAAAAAAGACTTGTTCAATTTGTTTTACATCACTGGTTTGTTATTCCTCAAAATTGGTTTATTTGACATTGTTTTATTATCCAGATACTATACACGTACGAGTATAGCTCAGTATTTTCCATTTTCGCTCAGTGTTTTAACCATTGACACATATCAACATTTCAAATAATCAAAATAAAACTATTATCAAGTTTCGGACCCGATGAAGGTTTTTTTGTTTCACAGAAACATTCATAGTATTTTCTATCTTAACGATCTTATTTTAAGCATCCTTTAACCAATTAGCAGGTAGGTTTTCCGACAATCTTGGAGCTTGATGTTATCGAGACGTCAAAATGCTCGAACTTTATACTACGTATTAAAAACAAAAGATTGACTGTCAAATTCCAATATTCAATGAGACAAGAGTAGCCCAAGAGCTAGCTGTTGGTGCTGTTGTCTAGCTAGTTGCCTTCCCTCTAGTCCATCAGTACAAATTAGGGATGGACATACGAATATAGCCCTTTGTGTAGCTTTGCGTGTCATTCTGAAATAAACAGATTTATTCAAGTTATTGCAGGTTGATGGTGTTGAAAACAGTGCGAAAATTTTATTGTAAATTTGAAGCAGAAAAATAATTAAATTACCACCATTGGTCATTGCTATAAGTGATTATGTATGGTGTTCGGACTGATGTAATTTGATAACAAATGTATAGTTATTTTGTTAAACCATTAGCATATTTCAGGCGCAAAACCAGCAATCCCAACTTTTGTCTGTGAGATGTAGTGGCTCAGAGGTAAGTCTGAAGGCTTATAACGCTAAAAACAGTTTCGATACCAGTTGTAGGCACGGCACAGATAGCCCATTGTGTAGCTTTATGCTACACAACAAACAAAGAAAAACTGTAAGAGAAAAGGATATAATGACTTTTTAAACGAATGGATCTGAATTGTTGGTTTACCGTGACAACTGCGCACGTGGATTTATTCATACAATTTCTTTCAAAAAAGCGTCAATATAAAACTTCGGAAGTTAGGAAGTATCTAAGAAATGAATAACAAGTAGGCTGGTATTTTTGAGTTTCAGCGTGGACTACGTTCAACTATACTCTAATTATTATCATTATGACACGTCTTCGGTTTTGTTTTTTTATATACAAATTTTCCGTACTTGAACGCAAATAATGTTTTTAAATCACATTTTTAGAGTTTTCGAGGTGATGTTGTGTGTGTGTGTGAGAGAGAGAGGTTATGTTCAAGTATAAATTGTCTGGGATGGCATGGTTCAAATCCCGCCTTCGAACATGTTTGCCCTTTCAGTCGTAGGGGCGTTATAATGTTGCGGCCAATACCACTATTCGTTGTTAAAAGAGTAGCCCAAGTGTTGGCGGTGGGTGGTGTTGACTAGCTACTTTCCTTCTATTCAATTACTGGTAAATTAGGAACAGTTAGAGTAGTCTAAACTTACCATATAAAGTGGAAGTTGTCCGTTTAAACTTATCTTATAAAGTGGATGTTGTTCGTCTAAGTTTACTATATAAAGTGGAAGTTGTTCGTCTAAACTTATCATATAAGGTGGAAGTTGTTCGTCTAAGTTTACTATATAAAGTGGAAGTTGTTCGTCTAAACTTATCTTATAAAGTGGAAGTTGTTCGTCTAAACTAACCATATAAAATGGAAGTTGTTCGTCTAAACTTATCATATAAAGTGGAAGTTGTTCGTCTAAGGCTTACTATATGAAGTGGAAGTTGTCCGTCTAAACTTATCATGGAAGTTGTTCGTCTAAACTTACCATATAAAGTGGAAGTTGTCCGTCTAAGCTTACTATATAAAGTGGAAGTTGTTCGTCTAAGCTTACTATATAAAGTGGAAGTTGTTCGTCTAAGCTTACTATATAAAGTGAAAGTTGTTCGTCTAAACTTATATAAAGTGGAAGTTGTTCGTCTAAACTAACCATATAAAATGGAAGTTGTCCGTCTAAACTTATCATATAAAGTGGAAGTTGTTCGTCTAAACTAACCATATAAAATGGAAGTTGTCTGTCTAAACTTATCATATAAAGTGGAAGTTGTTCGTCTAAGCTTACTGTATAAAGTGGAAGTTGTCCGTCTAAACTTATCATGGAAGTTGTTCGTCTAAACTTATCATATAAAGTGGAAGTTGTCCGTCTAAACTTATATTAAAGAAACCTTTTTCCGTGTTTAACGTGTCATATAAATTATAAACTTATAAAGCGTGTCTTTGTCCGCTAAATTTATAATATCAAGAAAATTCATAGTATCTTATCTAACTTATAAATAACTCATTCTAATCTAAGCTTAAAGTAATTTTCAAAATCTTATTGACGTACAAGATCCTTTCTTGATAAAGAAGCTATCTCAGTCTTACCTTAGCACGTAAAGGATTTTTCCCGATGGATTAACGCGCACAAGAACGTTTGGTACCGTGACATACTGAAATTCAGCCATTTTAGCGTTAGGAAAAAACACTTCAGGTTTCCAGATCCGTTTGATAAGGTGAGGGTCATTAAGGTCAAGATTTCGGGAGAGGGTCTTTTTCTTCAGTCTTTCGTCAATCCAGCTTTCTCTGAGATACAAATCGATTTCATAATCCTAACAGAATTATAGCAAAAATCGATTGGTTATTTATCCGTACAATCTAGTATTATTTTTAACTCAGTATTACAAGCATTAAAAGAAAATGTTCTAAACATTTCAATAAACTTTCTATAATGATAGTTATGTTAAAGTTTTTCGTTGCCAAACTTTATAGGAAAATGTACAGGTACGAAATTGTACGTATAACATTAAAGACAAGACAGTACTTAGTCAGGTGGAACTGGTGTTGACCACTAAATACATATTTTTAACGAATGTATTTATTTGTTGGATAACTTTCAATGTATCCATCTACCCTCTATTCTTATTTCTTATACACTACTCACAAGAGTTAAAGGATAATGAGGTCTGTATTTGTTTTATCAAATTTAGCATGCTTATTGTAGAGGATTATATTAATCCTACCTAGGGTTTGCCAGGTTATGCACCAATGATTCCTCATGTAATAGGCCTTTATGAGAAATGATTCAAATCCTGCAAAAACCAAAAGGCTAGTTTGATTTACTAGTAAAGATGTTTACTGTTGAGATAATGCTAGGTTTATGGATGTTTTAGCTGGTATTGAGTTTTGAAAAGAGTATACAAGCTGTTAGAAATCAATTAACTGAAATTGAAGTTTGCAGAGCCGTCACACTGCTTCAAGAGGGCCATACCCAGACTGAGGTAGCACAGATCATAGGGCTGTCACAATCTGTGATCAGTAGGTTGTGGTACAGATACAAGGCTACTGGAAAATATATTAGAAAACCAGGCCAGGGTCGCAAAATGGCTACAAGTGCAGTAAATGAGCGATATATTCGGAATTTAGCCCCGAGAAACTGTATTAGTAGTGCTAGAGGCCTCAGGAATGAGCTTAAGCAAGTCACTGAAGTGCGTGTATAGTCCTCAACGGTCAGTAACAGGCTCCGTGAGGCTGAGTTAAGGTCCAATACACCAGTTATACCCCTGTACTGACCCCAAGGTACCGAACGTCCGACTGGCCTTTGCCCAGGAACATGTCACCCGAACCCTTCAGCACTGGACTTCTGTATTGTTCATGGATGATAGAAGTTTTGTTTATCTTCAAGTAATCGACGTTGAGAGTTTGGAGATGTAAAGGAGAATTGTATTCGGCCTGTAACACTGTCCATCATGAGGTCTTTGGGAGTGGATTAATCATGGTGTTGGGTGACATCTACATACAGGGGCGTACAGACTTCTATGTGATAGGTGGAAGATCCCTGACAGCAGGACCTTATGTAGATGAGATCCTGCTATCCATTCTTCGCCCTTTTGCTGGTGCTGTCGGAGATGAGTTAGTGTATCAGCAGGATATTGGTCGTCCTCATATCGCCAGGACCACACAGCAATTTCCTCAGGATGATGGAATAGAGGTTCTGGACTCACAAACTAAGTCATCGGACCTAAATCCGATCGAACATGGGTGGGACTTGCTAGGGAGAGCAGTTAGAAACAGATAGCCTGCTTCTACGGCTGTGAAGAAGCTCAGAGCTGCCCTCATCCAAGAGTGGACTGTGCTGCCCAAGAAAGTTATCCGACATATTATCAGCAGTATGAGAAACAGGTGTAGGGAAGTGATAAACAATAGAGGAGGACCTACCAGCTACTAAAGACTCATTTTTTAAAGTTTGTTCATCTTAACACTTTGTTTTCTTCGATATTTATGAAGTCACATATTGTCATTTTCCTTAACTTCGCTTTTATGTTATTTGAACATGAATCTTTCGACTAGTTTGGTATTGTTTATCTGCGATATTTGTAATAAACAAGTTTCATCTATACTGAACATCTCTCGACATTCACTAGTAAATAGTGAACATATGTATAATAAAACCATTAATACCTCCATCGTCAATCTTCCTCAGTCTAATGACCACATATCATTGCCCAACAACCTCAATCGTCAATCTGCCTCAGTCTAATTACCACATATCATTTCCCAACAACCTCCATTTTCAATCTTCCTCAGTGCAATGACCATATGTTATTGCCCAACACAGCATTTTCCATTACAACAAACTCCTATTAAAGATGGCAAGGTAAATCTTAACTCACACACATCTTTTCCACGAATTTTCCACAGACTCTCATCTGTACGCGAACGTTGGATTCGAAGGCAGCGTATAAACAAACTAAAGCAAAAAAAATCCATTGGAGAATTAACAGTCTGTGGTTAAATGGGATTGATGTTATTCTACTTTCTTTGATCATCTTTCTTATGAAAGCAGCTGTTGATTTTGATGTGTAGCTAGAATCTTGTAAACTTTTACTTATGACTGTGAATCTTCGTTAACTTCAAATCCTAGTTTATTATCTTATTATAGGGATCATGAGATATGCCAAGGTTTACGGCATTGGAATTTTGGATTAGAAGGTTCTCTTTCGTAATTTTAGTTGCCACATGCATTTAAAACTGTTGCTCTGGATTGGTTTGGGGCGTGGCTTCGGAGCCCTTCGCTCTTCTAAACCCTCTGCTTTAAGACTCCTCTTTTCAAAATGTTGTGTCCTTTGGCTTTATCTCAGATAAAAATCTTATTTTAGGAAAGTTTATCTTAGAATGATTGGCTGTCCGATGTGAAAGAAATTCTAATACTAGAAATAAACGATCTTATACGATCAAGTTGTTGTTTTTCTCTAATCGGACACTCAACGTTTCGCTTTACAGCTTTTGCAGAAGCGTCCCACTAAAACACAAAAGTTTAGTGGAACGTTCCTGAAGACGCTGTAATACAAAACGTCGAGTGTCCAATTAAAGAAAAACAATAACTTTGGTGTTATAAGGTCGTTTATTTCTAGTGCCTTCTATACACTATAGAAAAAAAAGAATGTGAAACAAATTTATAAATATTAAACATTTACCCTTAATACACACATCTACGTTACCTACGTTAATAAATCTCACACTCGTGATTTTCCTGCGACAAAAGGTACCTACAGTTTGTGCTATAGAAGAAGCATCGTACTGAATTAAACGTAGAAGAATTAACTTGCAAGAAGTTCAAGAAAAATCAAAGCAAGACAAGAAACAAATTTATGAGCAAACGTTGAATAGCAATATACATAACACGTTATTACAATATTTGTCAATAAAAGAAAGTTTTCAGAAGCACTCCACTAGATATTAATGCAAAGATTAATATGCATAACTAGTTATCTGATTTTTTTCTAACATATGTAAAAATAGGGTAGAAAAATCGTTATAAAAGATAAATCGTGAGTGACATTATTTTTAATTTTTTTCAGCCACTAAAGCATCAATGGAAGATTTTATGATTCCAATACGCTGAATATTGGCCATGAAAGCACCCGTTTGCCTTAACGATGAAAATTACATGATACAAGTTATCAGTACATTTCCTTCTGTAAGCATACAGTAGCTAACGATAAACAATTCAGTATAACCTTGTCGGATACCTTTGCGGAAATCCTAATGATCCGTGTTTACCAGTATATGTAGCAAGAAGTTTAAATTATTCTACTTCTAAAATTCGTCGCTTATACAGAAACTTTTTGTTTCTTTCTCAAAAGGTTGATTGTTAGTTACAATGCAGCTAAAGCGCTTTCAACATTAACGTTCTGGTTTAAGCTGGTCTCCAATGACACCTTTGTATCTTTATTACCCTCAATTCATTGTAAAGTTTCTTATCCATATAATATATATATATATACTACAATTCATGGTAGTTTCACTTCAAGGTGAATATATTTAGCAAAATTAGGGTTTTGTTACATGTACACACACACACACATATATATATATAATTTAGTTTCTGTTCACTGGGGAAAAAAGTTCCCTATGTTTATCAGTTGGAATTTATGGTCTGTCAGTTAAAAAACATAGCATTTACACCTTACTTTTAGCAGAAACGTGTCTTTGAATTCATTGTTTATTCTCTATGCAATAAAACAGCATACATGTGGCAGTTTTCTATATTAAAGTCATGATGCATTTCTTCATAAGACGAAACACGTGAAACCAAAACAACACTAAGCCTAAACAGGACTTGATGTAGGCAAATATCAAGTGTCTGACAGCTACGAGTTTGTGAATACCACGTTGTAAATTTTACTGGTCGTTCATCTACTTTTATGTTTCAGTTGATTTAGCCAGTCGCTAATGAAAAAAAAAAGTATATTTTTCTATCTGTGCAAGTACTGTCGACGTGCAATCCTTAGTGATATTTCATAACAACTACAACCGTTATTTTAGAAAATATTAAAACTTGCCCTTTTCCTGTGAATGAAAGAAATTTCACAGAAGATTTTTTCTTTTATAAATAGAAATTAGTAACTCTTTTTTTTTCTAAGCGTGCACGTTAAATATCATACTGTATAATAGAAGATTTTCCGACTTCAACAACGTAAAACTTTTTTTTTCTAAAACTTCTTTCGTGAAATGTTGTCAATAAGACTTTGCAAGGTACCTCGTTGGGACAGCGGAGAGTCTACAGACTTACAACGCTAAAATCTGGGGTTCAATTCCCCACGGTGGACACAGTTGATAGTTCAATGTGGTTTTGGTCTCAGACAAACAAACAAACTTTGAAAGTTTGGCATTAAAAAAAAAAGAAGGACTTGAAATTCCTCAATATATAATATTTTCAATTCATACCCTTTGATAACAAACTCAGGGTATTAAAATAATCCTGCCGGCTCTATCATCAATGTAACGTTTAGTTATTTGGGCTTACTACGTGTTCTTCCTCTTGACAGAGAAGTTAGTGTACCTGAAACTTTTGTTGTTTGATCTACGTAACAGTAATGTGTGTTTAATTACTGTCGGTAATCTGTAACAAAAGTATCAAATAGTTTGATCGGAATTGATCAATTACGAGACATTTCAAAACTCCTTAGTTTGTACTAGAGCTTTCTTATTAATATTCAAAGTTACATTTCATGTCGATGTAGTCATGTTTAGTATTCATCTTTCCATACCTCACACTTTTATAGTCAGAATTAAGGCAGGATTTCATGACTTGTTAACACCTTTGTGCAAGTGTTTTGTAATATTCTTAAAATCAAGTCTTATTTGACAACCACCACAGTAAGACAGTAAAGAAGCACAATAGAACATACGTTCTGTTTCACAGTCTTGAGCTGATGTATTCACTTTCTACGGCTGATGTATTCACTTTCTACGGCTACAAACCTTTCGAATTATACTGCTAAACTTTAGCAGTAGTGTTAATAACTCACCATAGTTTCGGGACTTATCGAACCAAAACTGCGGATGTCTACCTCGCATGTGACGATAGTGGCGACACCTATCAGGTCAACAACATAAAATAAATTACTTAAGGTATCAACACACTTCGTGATGAATTTACGTTACTCAACAATCATTAGCATTTGGTCTTTAAAGATAGACTGATAGATACTTATACTTTTCTATACTTGTCATTAAAACAACCAAATCAGTTTTACAAGTTTGGCAGCAAACAACCAGTTTTTATAAGGAAATAAAACATATTCGTACATTACATTATTTACATAACAAATTTATCACTCTTATCTGTAACATCCATAAATAATTATTACATACTACAAAATATTTAAAATGTATGATATTTTAATATAACAATTTCCTTTAACTTTATGCAATAACCTCAGGTGTAATAGTTCTAAAATGTTGAATCAATTTTGAATAATTTTATTAAAACATTCAAGCTGTTGTTCTGCAAATTTCAATCACATCGTCAACTATTATTTAACATACAATAATGATGAAAATTATAAGTAAATATATATGTATATATATATATATCACAGGAAGGAAAAACAATAATAAATTAATTTAAAAGGGGGTAAATTTTACAATATTTTGATCTATAATAAACCATCGACATTCTTGAAT